TTAAAGAGCAGGTCATATGGGTTTTTGAAAAATATCTCTTTTGCAGTTTATAACATAGCTCTCCTTAAATTAAAACAATCTGCCAAGTTGTTAATCAAAAAAGTGCATGATAAATAAAGATATTGTCTCTCAAAAGAGAGAGTCGATTCTGAATCGCCTTAACGAGTCGTCATATTTTCGAATCTTTTGCCTGTTACCGGTATACGTCACTGGGTAACACATTTGCATAATCTCCACCTTCCAGTGAAATACGAACAGAGTCTGAGCTGCCCACAAACACTTCTGCTAGTTAGTGTGTTTACATCATGTTGAGAAGACGCTGTGTTCAAGGATACCGCAGAAATACAATTCGAATTTGTTGTGTGCATGTCATTTTTACCAAGGACTGCTTTTCTAATCTTGGCTTTTATCTTCGTTGGCTTCTAATCTTCTTAATTTTGGACTAACATGCTCTCCTAACCACAACCTGTAAGTACGATTGATACGTTATGTGTACATTTTCAATTGAGTGCTCAAAATATCAAGTTAGTTCTAATAATTCGCTGTGAACCCACTATTTCCTAAGAATGTGTCGATTAATGTAGACTGACGTTGTTCTAATTACTTTGTTTAATAATAAAAAATGTAGTGTAGCACACGGACTTTATAATCATTGTCAAATTGCTGTTTATTTTGCTGCACCGGCAGTTACAGGGTTAATAGAGACGAGAGACGTGCGAGTTAGTTAGGCTGCTGCACCTGTGATACAGCTGTTCTGATTAAATGTTAAGACAGAGCATCTTTTGTCTGTCGTTCTTCTAACATTACAGTAGACATATTTTGGTTTACAAACGGTATTGTTTCATCAGTTAGCCACGTTAGCACTCGGCTAATGTATCCACCATTACTGTTTGAAGTGTTCACAGTTTAGCAGCTAAACTTTAGCTGTGGGCACGATTCGCTTGCATAAGTGTTTTTATATTTTATGTCATTATTTTAAGAACGGATTGGAGCACTATATTGTTGTTTTATGTAAAGGTGCTTTGTCAATGGTAACGCTTGCTAACTTGCTCAAGGACTTCTCTCTGTGCCAATCACAACAGGCTTGGCCAGCTGACCAATCAGAGCAGAGTAGGCTTATGGAAGGGAGGGGTTTGCTCCAAACTTGCTTGGAACGAACCGTTTAGAAATCATTGGCAAATGACTCTAATATTAAATGTATATTCTAAGAAAACTACAATGTTTTCTGACCTTAGATGAATTTAAACCTGTTGTGGGGGACTCCAACACAATATTAGGACAATTTAAAATACCATATGACCTGCTCTTTAATAAATTATCTGCAAAGTTCTATGATTATATAGCAAATGTTAATTATAATGACCTTCAGTAAAAATCAGTACATTTTAAAAAAACACTAGCAATCTCTAAATTACTGGTTGCTATAGATTAATGCAAGCACTAGGGTGGAGTTTGCAGGCTACACATCTTTCCAATGGAAAATGACTTTACTTCGTAAATTAACCTAAATATTTGAAGATGCTGATAACCCACTGGCTGTGCTGGGTAGAGATGTTATAAATGTTGTAAATCTTTTTGTGCTTTGAAAATCTGTTCCTGCAGAGACTAGGGTTGTAACGGTATGAGATTTTCACAGTATGATAATCGTCTCAGAAAATATCACGGTTTCACGGTTATCACAGTATATATTAAACAATAATTCTTATCAGTAACAATGACTCAAATCCTTTATTACAACAAAGACGCTGTGTTCAAGGATACCGCAGAAATACAATTCGAATTTGTTGTGTGCATGTCATTTTTACCAAGGACTGCTTTTCTAATCTTGGCTTTTATCTTCGTTGGCTTCTAATCTTCTTAATTTTGGACTAACATGCTCTCCTAACCACAACCTGTAAGTACGATTGATACGTTATGTGTACATTTTCAATTGAGTGCTCAAAATATCAAGTTAGTTCTAATAATTCGCTGTGAACCCACTATTTCCTAAGAATGTGTCGATTAATGTAGACTGACGTTGTTCTAATTACTTTGTTTAATAATAAAAAATGTAGTGTAGCACACGGACTTTATAATCATTGTCAAATTGCTGTTTATTTTGCTGCACCGGCAGTTACAGGGTTAATAGAGACGAGAGACGTGCGAGTTAGTTAGGCTGCTGCACCTGTGATACAGCTGTTCTGATTAAATGTTAAGACAGAGCATCTTTTGTCTGTCGTTCTTCTAACATTACAGTAGACATATTTTGGTTTACAAACGGTATTGTTTCATCAGTTAGCCACGTTAGCACTCGGCTAATGTATCCACCATTACTGTTTGAAGTGTTCACAGTTTAGCAGCTAAACTTTAGCTGTGGGCACGATTCGCTTGCATAAGTGTTTTTATATTTTATGTCATTATTTTAAGAACGGATTGGAGCACTATATTGTTGTTTTATGTAAAGGTGCTTTGTCAATGGTAACGCTTGCTAACTTGCTCAAGGACTTCTCTCTGTGCCAATCACAACAGGCTTGGCCAGCTGACCAATCAGAGCAGAGTAGGCTTATGGAAGGGAGGGGTTTGCTCCAAACTTGCTTGGAACGAACCGTTTAGAAATCATTGGCAAATTACTCTAATATTAAATGTATATTCTAAGAAAACTACAATGTTTTCTGACCTTAGATGAATTTAAACCTGTTGTGGGGGACTCCAACACAATATTAGGACAATTTAAAATACCATATGACCTGCTCTTTAATAAATTATCTGCAAAGTTCTATGATTATATAGCAAATGTTAATTATAATGACCTTCAGTAAAAATCAGTACATTTTAAAAAAACGCTAGCAATCTCTAAATTACTGGTTGCTATAGATTAATGCAAGCACTAGGGTGGAGTTTGCAGGCTACACATCTTTCCAATGGAAAATGACTTTACTTCGTAAATGAACCTAAATATTTGAAGATGCTGATAACCCACTGGCTGTGCTGGGTAGAGATGTTATAAATGTTGTAAATCTTTTTGTGCTTTGAAAATCTGTTCCTGCAGAGACTAGGGTTGTAACGGTATGAGATTTTCACAGTATGATAATCGTCTCAGAAAATATCACGGTTTCACAGTTATCACAGTATATATTAAACAATAATTCTTATCAGTAACAATGACTCTTAAAAGAACAAGAACAAGTTATTTGAGGGAACAAATCCTTTATTACAACAAACTTGAAACCATTTTAATGAAAGTATTGAAGTCTCCCTTCTGAATTAATTAATTAATTAATTAATAACAATAAAAAAATAAAGCACCTTATGTATATCTATATCACACTTTAACATTTTAATTCATGTTTTTAAATAAAAATTTACAACTAATTTTAATCTAATTTTTTGACAGTTAAAACGTGGACAAACATGATATTCCTTGAAAACAATGTTTAAATGAATAATTTTATTATAAAGAATATTATTATTGTTGTTATTATAACTTTGAAGTAGGGCTGAAACGATTAGTCGACATTATCGACAAAAAAAAAAAATTGTCGACAAATATTTTTGTTGTCGAGTAGTCGTTGGATCCCTAATGTAAAGAGTGGGAGAGTGACTCAACTCTCAAAATGTGAATTATTGTGGAGTGAGATGACACGAAGGCTCTATCACTGCAACTCCGAAATCAGAGCACATTTGAATTAATTATAACCGAAACTAAATATGTCGGTTTATACGATCATGTCTTTTATCTTTTAAACGTCCAGATTGATAAATCCGAGATAGTGAATTGGTGGGGTTTTGTTAAATGTGAGCCAAAATCATCACAATTAAAAGAACCAAAGACTTAAACTACTTCAGTCTGTGTGCATTGAATTTATTTAATACACGAGTTTCACAATTTGAGTTGAATTACTGAAATAAATGAACTTTTCCACGACATTCTAATTTATTGAGATGCACCTGTACATTGTACAATGCCAATATATTTATCAAACTATTATTTTGACGGGTTGTAGCAGACCCTTTGAGTCTCAGAGTGTATTTGACAATGGTTTTTTTCAAATAAAACTAGGAAATGTTTATTTACGTTTTCTCTCAGAGCAGCTCTGCTGACGTTCATGTTTATGTATCTTAGATGCTGAAAACACCATTTATGTATGCGTACTTCAGTATGCAGTACGTTAGATAAAACAGAGACATGCAGAAACAAGTAGATTATTCATAGCAGTCTCTTTGCGCTTTAATATTCACAGACATATAACTACTTTCGATTTATCCATCCATCCGATTGCGTGTTTTACGTGACATCCTCATTATACTGTAAATTCCATGTTCACGACTGCACCGGGATTCCCTCTGCTTCAAGGAAATCATAAGGCCTTAACTTATAACTTGTTATTAATGCGTTAAAATAATTTTTTTTAAACCATAGATATGCAAATGTTTACGGTATGATAACCATGCACGTTCAAACCGTGATAAACAGTCATACCGGAATATATCGTTACAACCCTAGCAGAGACACAATGCCTGATGTGTCACACCCCGAGACACAATCTGAAGTCAGTGCATAATGTGTGCACAATGACTTGCATGCCTGGAGTTTTCAGCTCCCAAATTACAAACAAAGCTTAGAAACGCCACAAAAATCAATCATTCGTCTTTCAGTTTTATAACAGAAAGTACATTTGCAAAGATGTACCTTCTGCCAGAAAATTGGCGGTTGCAGAGTCATGAAAAACCACACCATCGTTCAGCTTGACTGAGTTCCTCACTTGCAACATTCTCATAAGGTAACGCACACCTTCTTGAAGACACTGTGAAGACACGGAGCATTGCAACACTTACTCAAGTCATGGCCACTAAAACTGGCACAGTGGAGTGAGAGGTCGGAGAAAGAACCTTAAGGAAAGTGGCTTTGTTCTTCTTGATCCATTGCTTGCGTTGGTGTAGTGTGTGGCAGTACATATATAATAATGCCCCACGCCTCCAGTATAGGCACTCCAGCAGCTCCAGCCCCAGCACAGACTGCACCTGATACCAAACAACGCAACACACTACAGTTACTAAGAGCTTTCTAATCTTATTCAGTCTATGCCAATTAAACTAGAAAAATATAGACGTGTTATAACGCATAAAAAGTTGCAAAAAAATTTGAATGCACTTTTGTTGCAAACAAGCAACAAATGATACAATGGCATAAAACAAATTTGCTGCAGAAATTGGCACATTTCCAAATTGCACAGGTGGTCTGTAACCAAAAATATTAACCAGTGGGAGTGGATGCCTTATTTAGAATCAACAGCAAATAATGAAACTAATAGTTCCAAGTAAAGATCTTCTAAAGATACAGAAATACAACACCTCTTGTGCAGGTACCAGTCGCCCTGCTAACACCTCTGGCTCTGTCAAGTCCTGTAGTAACTGCTGAATTTTAAAAGGGGAAGTGTCCTCAGGAAACTCCTGATCTACAAGCCTGTTTTCCTCATAGAATGTAATGTCCAAGACAACCTGTAGAAAAGTAGGTAAAACAATGGGCCATATGAGTCACTACATCTAAAACAAGGTATCTGCAGTGTTTTTAAAATTAAACTTTGCACAAATAAAACAATATGCAGAACAAACCCATACATAAAACCATACAATATAAATCATATTGCATATTCTTTTACTCAGTTGAACAGGCTGGGCACACATTGACCTGCAAAACACGATAGCTGGACATTTAAAAAGACATGTTTTATTCAATATATACATATGTATTGAAATTGGCTTATGTAATAATATATAATAACATATGAATTAGGTTTTGATCAATATTCTAATTTGCTGACATAATATGTTTAAAGGGGTCATATGATGTGATTTCAAGTTTTCCTTTCTCTTTGGAGTGTTACAAGCTCTTGGTGCATAAAGAAGATCTGTAAAGTTGCAAAGACTAAAGTCTCAAATCCAAAGAGATAATCTTTATAAAAGTTAAGAGTCAGCCACACCTACCTGAAACGGCTCGTTCTAACACGCCCCCACATATCTACGTCACTATGTGGAAATATTAGCATAATGCCGCCCAAAAGAAAGGCGGCGTGGTTTCAGGAACAGCAGTAGTGTTGGTGCAGCCATGTCAGGGAGACGTTGTGTTTCAGTGCGAAAGCACTTTATTTGGCCTTCCGGAAGTAGATGCAACTAGGAATCATTGGTTAAGATTTATTTACAACAGAACAGCACAACCAAGATGTTCGAATTTGTGCAACGCTTTTTATGGACGACAGTTTTTTGAACCTAGAAGAGTACAAGGCTGGCTGTGCACAAAGGCCATTTCTAAAAAAAAAAAAGAAAAAAAGGGGTCAATTTCCGACTTTGCTATTACATTCTGGTGCTTCTGAATCAGCGACTGTAAGTATGTTTTGTTATTAGTTTAAGTATTTGCTATTGACTGTTCAAATGCGGAGTTTTGCGCAGCGCAGAGTAATGCGTCGTGTGTGTGTGTGTGAGGGGAACAGGGTCACATCACAGGAGAGTGAACTGCCTGTCAGAAATCATAGCACGTCAGCTGCATCATCACTGTGTCTGTCACGCGACTCTGTTGCCCTTTCGGGCTTGAACTGATGGTAAAACTAATGACATTATTAACTGTCTTGATATTTACTTTGAAAGCTGAAGCTGCGATTATGGTAAGGGGCGTTACATTTCCGACGCGTGCTTGTGGTGTTCGGCCAATCACAATGCACTGGGTCAGCTGGCCAATCAGAGCAGACTGTGCTTGTCAAAGGAGGGGGCTTTGTTGAAAACGACGCTTTGAGAGAAGCGGGGCATAAAGGACCTACAATAATGTACAGTATTTGAAAAATAATGTGTTTTTTAACATTAAAGCATGTCAACATATTCTGTTACACCAAATTCACTAAATAATGATCTTTAAAATAGCATCATATGACCCCTTTAAAGAAAAGCCACTAAAAAGATGGTCGATAATAATAAAATGTACATATTGAATGTGTTAAATAATGTTCTTAGTCTTTCCTTTCTGTAAGAGGGTGAAATTAAATGCCAGATGTAGTTTATTGTGTAACCAAAATACCAATAATATCCAGAAAAAACAGCATAATGTGGGAATTTTAATTATACATAAGTACGAAAACACTGTGACTCTAAATTTGAAATGTCTGCACTTTAATACTTACAATGGCTAATTTAAAAAGATGAGAAAATATACACTCTACACTCTATAACCACCTACAACAATATTAAAAACCAATAATAATGAGCGATCACTTGGCATAAATGTGTAGTGTTCATTTTGGACTGCTCTGAAACCGCGAGCCTGTAGAACGTGCAACAGTGCCATATTTGGACTTTGAACGTCCAGTGCTCTCATTCATTTAATTCAAAGGTTTTTCAAAGTTTATTAATTGCATTAGGCCATAGGGCTGCATGATTAATGGAATGCGATTGTCATGCGCATTTTGATAGTAATGCCGGTTCTGTA